TTCTCCAATTCATTCTGTAAAGAATATATTCTTCCTACTACTCTGGCCTTCCAAAGACTTCTCCTTCCTCTCCAAAGGAACCGGGGCTGGAAGATCGTAGCCGTTAGGGTTAGACCTTATTAGCCTTAACACACCTCAATAGAAGTGTCCGGATTTTGCGGATCCTTCCTGCATTCCACGTCACGTGCACGTAATTTTCCACTGCTCTGAATGGTCAGCCCTCGTCCTAGGACTGCATTAGGCTTCTACTAGCACTGACTGTGAAAACTGGTCAATAAAAAAGGCGGCAGTCGTTCCAGCATCTGCGTCTGCCGTCCTCTTTTCACAATAAATCACTCTTCCAGTTTTGCCTTGGGGCTCGCTCCCGAACCCCGTTTGCAGAAGAACATCACTTACAAAGACAAGAGAGATTCGAATGTCCATTTCTGGCTGATTAGCCGTCATCAGCCAACCATAACCCTCGAGGCTTGAACCCACGACCTCGTTTGATAGGTGCCCAACTCGCAGTCATTAACGACAAGGACGCAGACTGTCAAGCCATCATGGCGGTGATTACGAGAGCTGCTAAATGTATTATATAGGGGCTCACGTGGCTTCTACAGTCTAAAAATACCACGTACCAATACCTCTATCATCTTTAACTACGGTTGTATCTGATGGTGGATTCGAGCGAGAATCCAAAACGGCACGCTAATAAACTTTTCGTTCCACCGATCGCATCTTCTGCACTGTGGACGATAAATACTGCCCATTCAGTGTCTCTACCGCCCTTTTTTGCGATGGTCTCTACTGCTGGATTTGAGCAAGACTACTAAACGTCAGGCTTATAATATTCTTGTCCCAGTGATCGCATCTTCTCCTCCTGAAACGCTTTCGGTAAATCGCCCTTTGGCTTCCATCGCTATACCATCACTTAATCATCCAAAAGTCAGTATGCCGCTGGATGTTCATTTGGGGGGTCTTCGCAGCCGTCGGCAACTTTGGATACTCTTGTTAAAGTAGTGGATATTTGTCTACCAGGCCATCTTATTACCTTAATGCAACATCTTCGTCAAAAGCGCCATTTGTCATTTGAAAAAGTCAGAATTCTGGCCAGCACGTACAGTTGCAACTTTAAACTTGCCGATCGATAAAGTCAGTATTTGTTTCGACAAAGGATAGCCGGCCCATTTGTCCGAAACGTCAGCAAACTTACAAATTTATTCCGGTGAGCAGAAGATGAACTCTAATAGCTGTTTGTCACTTTCGCTGCTGATTTCCCCGAAGAAGAGTCCGAAACGACCCCAGTCCTATTTCATCTACCTCGGGCCTCCGTTTCGCTGCATACCCTGGTAGAGTGTGTGTGTACGGATGTTTACTTTGCGCCTTATGTAGCTTAATCCCAATTAAAATGCATATTATGCAAGATAAAAATGCGTTCTGTCATTTTCTATTATTTTTATCTTTTGCATAATTTGCAGATGAATTCAAGTTTCATCCATCCTTCACGAGGGACTGTAATTCAATGGTTTTGAATCTGCCTCTGAAACCGTCAGGACGGCCTTTCTCTCCGCCTTGTAGTGCTTTGCCGAGGTTTGACTCTTTGGCGGCAGTCTTCCAGGCTAGTGGTTCCGGAACGTTCTCCACGACTCTGTGTTCCCAATTGCCCTGTGGATGGTATTGGGCTACTATGTAGATTGTATGCTTGTCACTGCTGTAGGCCATTCCAAAACCAACCATCTTGGTTTCCTTCCACACTAACTGAGTAAAATGCCCTGACAACATTATAAAATAATATATTGAAACTGTTAAGGTAGTAACATAAAACATGCCTACTAATATGACATAAGTAGACCATTATGAAAAGTAAACTATCCCATAGCAGATAGTTATCCTGACGTATTTTTTATCAGTGTATTTGGTTACTGTAGTCATTTCCATGATGTACTAGACTAGGGCTGGTCAGCTGAGGATTCGTGCAATGCTACCTATTCAAACACTGAAGAAGCCATTTTCGCCGTAGGCAGGTTCTAAAGCATTGCTTGTCTGGCCACAGTACTAATATAAGTTGCGGTAGAGCAGCAACATTGAGAACAGCCAATGAATAGTACTCATTAAGGGCATTCAGGCACGTTAAATAAGGGTAAATTGCCGCCTGGCGGCATTCGAATGTGGAGAAAGGGCGAGGGGGTAAAGCTGAGAACGATAAGTGCTTATGTTTCGACGCTATTACACAACATGCCAGGACGCGTGTATGAGCGCGAAGGATTTAACGTGGGCCAAGGAAGCTCAACAGTCTGAAATAACGTCTTCTGCATGCTTAAGATTGAGCAGGTTGACTGCCACACGTATCTTCTGGTACAGGAGCTTGCAGAAGCACCTCCAACCACTATTTTGCCCCATACCCAGTGGCCGCTACGAAATAAATGAACTAAATTTTGCTAAATGTAGATATTTGATGCCTTGATTTTAACAAGCTACCTTCATTAGGATGCCTGTCATAAACTATTCAACCATGCGAATGCTGATATCGTCATTTTACACGAAAAATCATCATCAAAATATCTGCTAATAAGATATCTTCCAGCTTGAAAAGACGAAGAATTCGGGTAAACTCACCACACCGCTGGATACCTTGTACGCCGAAGGTAAAGCCTTCAATTTCACTGTACCATGCTAACGAGGCATTCCGTGCTGAAAGATTCAAAAATTTAAAAGTTATATTTTCCGAGATACTGTAATCGCCCTTTAGTATTCGCAGAGTTTAGGAATTATAGCGACATATTATTTGAAAACCGCGAATACTTGTGACCCCCGGCAAATGGTTATAACTATATTATTGTTTAATGTCTAAATATACTTTAAGCACGTATCATGAAAAACTGTGCTAGTACTTCAAAGTTATGGTAACCTTTATCTGAAGCAATAATCCTTTAAATTTTATCTACTATTTTAAGGTTGCCATTAAAAGTATAGGACACCCAGTTACGCGGGACCATACCTACAATTGTTACGCTTACTAAATCGAAACTTAACGCAGTTACGTTCTGGCACATGCATTGCTGATTAATATTGTAAGATAAGTAGCTAAAATGCATGTATTCATGAATATCAATGAAAATGGTTGACAAAGGGTTAGAATAGGATATGCTAAAAAAGGTCCGTGAAAAGCGAACTACGAATAAGCGGGCGTCAACTCTGGTGTCTGTTTCCTACCGTGTATATAAAAAAATTCTGAAAGCTTGTGTCCCTTGAGTCCTGCTCCCCAACATTTCTCTGGATCAATATGGAGTCAAAGTTGGGACGAGGGACTCGTAAATATGAACACACAGATAGTCCGCTCACTCCATGACATTTTTAGCCATTAAGGTTTCTCGATAAAATGGAGCCAATACGCCAATGCTAACCAGATCCGACAGTGAAATAAGGGGGGAGAGCGAGTGGCTTATGGTTGATCCCAGGTTTTGCGCTCCCACTGTAATGATTTTGATTCATTTTAAATCTTTTACGATAGAAAAGGTCGTGGCCTGCGAGGAGGTCAACTGGCAGCGTAAGTCGATCAATTAGGATCGAAACGCATGAGTCTGGAATGGCTTGTTGCGAAGATCACACCGTGGCAGTCCGTTTAAACAAAATCTAGTTTCCACTTCACACACTGTGTCGATTCACTGCTAGAGCCGTTCACGTGGTCCTCCTGCCGCCTTACGTTCTCTATTGGTT